TTCTAATTATTCAAGTTTATATTTAAATTTAATTATTATTATTTTTGAATAGAAGCCGTTAGTATTATTAAAAAAAGTAAAAATATCCGAAATTATAATAAGAGTTTACAACTATCATCGTAAACTAAATACATATTTAAACTTTTCCTGTAGCATTGAAACTAGTCACTTTAAATCATATAAGGACTATACATGTAAAATGTTAAAAACCCAACCAAAAGACTTGAACAAAAATAGATACTTATAAATCTGATTGTGTCGGCACATAAAGCACAAAAGAAAATTAAGTCATTGAAAGACCACTGAGAACTGCAGACCATAGTTGAGTGTCGTGAGAAACTATCCACAAACGCAAAATCACGCATCCAAATTCAATCCAAATGTCCATATCAGGTAAGATCAAAAAGATTACGAATAAGCGTCATCTTGATTAGTCGTGGCGTCATCAAATACAACCCTGAGAAAATATAATAAAATAACGGACAAACGATCGAAAAAAATCGAAAAATATGCCACAAAAGCATAGATAAACGTGCAACACATGCATAATTATTCTTATTAAAAAAACAAAGAGAAAAGAGAACTGACGGTCGAAAACTAACATCAAAGTCGGTGTCGTTGTCGGCTAAAGAAAATCAAAGAAGAAAAAATTGATATGATCTATGAAAACGATGCAAACTTAAAGAAAAGAAAGAAAAAAATGAAGACAAAGGAGAAAACCGCTAAGGAAAGGGTGAGCATATTTAAATTTAATTATAAATATTTATAATAGTATAATACTATGTAATTCTAATTTAAACGATATCTATAACCATATACAATACATATATGTTTATTCATAATTTTTTGAGGTCTCGTGCTCGAGTATCAGATATGTCATGAAAATGAATGTTCAATATCAAATGATTGAAAGTTAATTTTGAATAGATACTACCTTATACTAACCTTAAATTAATAAAAAAACGAAAAAATAACAAATAATAGAAAGAAATTTCACTATTTCAATAACAAGAACAAGAGAATTTCACAAAATAATAAATCTTAATTTTTTTAATGAATGAAATCTTAACATTTTAATTATATGTATCCTAAATCACACATTTCTATTGATTAAACTTTGTTTGTAAAGCACGAATCAATTCACATAAGTGATTAAAGGAATCGTTGTTATTTCTAAAGATCACAGTTTCAAACATCAACAATTGTAGGACGATGATTAAATGATTATTGTCAAATAATTGAGAATATAGTTTAAAATAAATACTATTTTATAATCAATTTTGTTTAATAAAAAAACTAGGGAAGATAGCCCTCTAGGAAGATTTTCTTTCACTTGAATTCGATTAATTATTGTCATAATAAAATTTGATCCCGATTTGACACTTCAATTTCAATCTGATTTAAAAATTTAAGAAAGAATTTAACTTCGACTCAATTATAGTCAATTCATCATCATTTTTATTTGTTACAGATTTTATGTCAAAATAAGAAAATAATTAAATGAAATATTATTTTTTTAATTTTATAATATAAATTAAAATTAAATTCAATACCATAATTTTAGCATGTTAGTATTTTTTTAACTCTAGCGTGTTAGTTTTTTTTGAAAGAAGCAACTAATTTTATTTAAAATAGTTAATATCCTAAATTATAATAAAAATTTATGATTACAATCGTAAATTAAATACATAATTAAAAAAATTATATAATTATTGAAACAAGACTAGTAACATAAGATCACATAATGATCATACAAGGAAAGATTAAATTAAACTAAGAAACTCAAACAAAGATAGATACAAACAGATCTGATCGCATCGGCAAACGAATCACAAAAGAATATCAAACTATTGAAAGACTACCAACAAATTACAAATCAGACTCGAGTGAAATGAAAAGCTGTCCACAAACGTAAATCTAGTATGGTATTCAAATCCAATCTGAATATTCAAAACAAGAAAAATCATAAAATATCATATAAGCACTATCTTAATCAGTCATTATGATATCAAATTAACCGTTAAAGAAAAGATAAACGAAAAACGGCCAAACAACAACAAAACTCAAAAGCAAAAGAAAAGGAGGAGCTGGTCCTATTTCCTTGCAGCAAGGTGAAAATCGAGAGGAGCTCAGCAAGAAAATTCAGAGAAATAGAAATCCCGTAGTACATGCTCAACAGATTCGATAATACTTGGACAATTAGGACAATATGGGTTTGAGGAAATTCTCCGATAGCATAAATTCTGCATGGTAGGAAGAAAATTATGGAAAATTTTCCATCCTTGAAGCTTGATCTTACGTTGACAGTTTGCTTCCCATAACTTCTTGAAAAAGACTCCAAAATTATTAATACTCTCCCTGTCGCTTACCAATAAATGATATCCACTTGACAGAATACAGGCCCGTGCGCTCTCCTCCCCATACATTATCATCTTGGGCATTATTCAAAGGAAGGGGATGCTGAGAATTGTATCCACTTCCTCCTCTGAAAACAGGCCTTTAACTAGCTCCTCATTCCAGTTCCTCGAGTGATTATCGATAAGATCCGAGACCCAAATAACAGAATCAACTTGCGGGCTACTGATTTTTTTGGGAGGAAAAACAGGTAACCAATAATCATTCCAAATTGAAACCCCATACCCCAATCCTATTCACCAGCGGATGCCCATCTCCAACAGCCCCCGAGCACTCCAAATGCTTCTCCATATATACGAAGTACTCGATCCTAGTAGAGAATGTAAAAAAAAATCAGAAGATGGGTAGAATTTAGCCCTGATTAGCCTACTCACTAAAGTGTCCGGAGTAGTAAACAATTTCCATCCTTGTTTCGCCAACAAAGCTGTGTGAAACTTTGCCAAATCACGAAATCCCAATCCTCCATTCCCCTTGATATCACACAACGAATGCCTCGAGCACCAATGAATTCCCCTTCTTTTTGGTGATTTCTGCCACCAAAACCGAGCTAAAGTCCCCTCTCTCGTTACACAAGCTTTTGGGCAGAAGAAAACAGTTCATAGAAAACATGGGAATCGCTTGTAAAACCGATTTAACGAAAACCTCCCTTCCTCCCTGTGATAAACACCTGATGCACCAGGAATTAATCCAACCAATGATCCGCTCCTTAAATTGAACAAACGCTTGTGTTTTATTTCTCCCCACCATAGCCGGTAAACCCAAATACTTCTCTGGGTTTGAGGAACAAGAAACACCCAAGACTCTCCGTACATCCGCCATTTGAATCAATAACATTGGAACCGAAGAATAGTCCTGACTTATCGAAGTTTATGAGCTGTCCCGATCTTTTCTCCATATCTCCTGAGAATATCCTTTATCACCCCCGCTGTTCGTGCATTCGCTTCTCCAAAAAGAAGACGCTCATCAGCAAACATTAGATGAGTTACCGATTGGCCACTTAAATAGATGGGTCAAAACCTATTTAATTATCTCATTTTAATACATTATAAGCTAATTTTTAATATATATATATATTAACGAAAATCTATTTAATAATATAAAAAATAAAAAATATTGATATATAAATCTCATTTTAGGCTGGCATAGATTCTTTCTAAACTCAATTTATTTCATTATAATTTAATTTTTTTTAAAAAAATAATACTTAATCCTGTTAAATCAAACCATATGGGCCACTTAAATAGATGGGTCATGAGAATTGATTGGACTGTCACATAATTCAGAATTATGGAAATTATGATGTTATACAACTTAAAAAAGAAAAATTCATCGTCAAGTGATAAGTAAATTGATATCGTTTAAATAAAGTTTTTAATTTAGGTCTTTGTGTATACAGAAAATCTCTGCTGGGAGACTCACCCACTAAAACCAGATGTGTGACTCTGATTGATTCAGATTAATGAGAACGAAGCCTTGGAACTGAAGGGACTGAAGGGAAATAAAGGGAAAAAACTGAAATTTCCTTAGCCGTTTCTCAAATAATAAAAAGAAAAAACAAAAGTTCATTATCCCCAATAGGCAGCTAAATCACTTCACAATGTGGAAAAGATCAGCCCATGTGATAAGAAGCCTACGGGGAAACAACTCCCTTACTCTTTTGTTTTATCAGGAAAGAGGATGTATTATTATTAGTGGATTTAAAGTTGTATATCGATGTTAATTAATATTGATGTAAAATGTGTGGATGACGACGTGTAATGAATATATATATATATATATATATATAGAGAGAGAGAGAGAGAAAATCAGTATAAAAATTGTACTATAAGGTGCGTTTGGTTCATGGAATGTAGTATTACATCTGGGAATAGAATTACCGGAATATAATATTACCTAACACATTATTGGGAATGTTGCATTGTTATGTTTGATTTGTTTAGCAGAATGTAAGATTACAATGTTTGGTTAAAAGAATAAAAGATTATTGAAATGTATATTTTATCAAATATCCTTGTTATATATTTGTTTTTTAAACAAGTTGAATTATAATATTCAAAAGAAAATATTTTTATAAAAGATCATAGAAAATATATTATTTTATTATTTTTAATTTATACATTTTCTTTAAAAAAATTAAATTCATAAAATTTATATAATTTTTTTTACAAAATTTAAAAGATAAATTTGTAATTTACCCTTCATAGAATTTTTTTTATTCAACGGTTAGTTGAATGATATTTTTGAAGAAAAAAAATTGTTTTAAGGGCATTTTAATCCAAAATCATGGGAAAAGAATAATACCTAAGTGATTAAGGGGAATGACATTCCCACAAAATGCCACTATTGGAAATGAGTTATTACCCCTTATTGGGAATCTTTGCAATCCAAACATGGGTATCATGTTCTGGAAAAAAAACTCTCCTCGGTAATCTCACAATCTCTCATCCAAACGCATCCTAAAGGTATGTGATATACTATAATTTGTTCTCTAGAAAATAATTTACGTAAAATGAATAACCTGAAAATTGTTTTACCTAAAATGAATTACATTTATTTCAAGGTGGTATTTTGGAACATGTTCTTGAATGGACGATGCACCTAGTTGATCACTTCATGATCGATGTCCTTATTTATTAAGCCTCGTGCTTTAGTTGATGGTTTGGACAATGAGCGACATTAAAAGATCCTTTGTTGCTCCGCTCGATGTCCCGATTCCATCTCCATGGTGGTATATGCAGTGAGAAGTGCGCGCCATGTTCAAGCACAACTTCGCCATGGACCTTGGTATTGAGCTTTTGTAGCTTTCCTCGTTTAACTTTTTCCATGAATGAAACAACAAGCTCCTAACGTGCTTTATTGCTTCTTCTCTGGACGCACCTGCTTCAACCATGTAGCACTCTATCGATTTCGCTATGTCTCCTCTAGCACTCTCGGCCTTCACAGAACATGAACCAAAGATCCTGGTTTATTGATTATTCATTGTACTACAAATGATTATGATCGGCTGGTATTTAGAGTTATTGTTACCTTGCAAGTGCCCAAATCATTGGTCATTCGGGTAATTAGGGACGACCAATATAATAGCTCACCACCCTGCTTCAAACAATGGTCCATAGACACAGAGTTCCTGCCATCGAGTCCCTCTTGTAAAATATAAGCATGAACTATTGCTTCCGGACCTCCGATTGAGATCCACGCGTTTTCTAAATACTCCTCCAGTGTTGGCGTGTAGCCACTGTAAAACCATCTTGCTTCGGTGAAATATGATTCACAGAGTTTCTTCCACTGCATGCAGGTAAACATACATGGAATGTCAGATCATTTAAGCATATTAATGCTGCACTGCTAAAGAATCTGTATAGAACTAGCCTCTTCCTTGATGTAGTGGGTGGTATTGGATCCGCCATCTTTCAGGATTTCGAGTTCCATATCATTGACAAAGTCGAGCAAGGCTAAATAGCATGCCCTCATGTATTCTGGAAGGTCCTCCATGGCCTTAATATCCCATCTAAATAGCATAGGAAAAAAGGGGAATTTTTTTAGATCAATAGTAATTTTGTTACATCCTACAAAAGTAGAGAAGGATATTTATGTTACTGATTCACTGCTTTGGTGAAGATTTCGAGTTCGTGCCGTGTTCCGTATACGTCATACATGTCGTCGATTGCAGATAAAATGCAGACGAATCTGGTGAGGTATGTCCTGCATTTAGAGAATTGCGGCTCGAACACCATTCCCATTGCCCATATATAATTCTCTGTTGAAAATTCAATATTAGCCTATATGTTCACACCTAAATTAATTTGATGTCATTGCTTACATCAATTTAGTTTTGATGTCATTGCTTACATCAATTTAGTTAGGTGAAAATTAAGTATTTTTCTCATGTTTTAATTTCAATGGTTTAGATTATTTAGTGTTTATTTTAATGAGTGGTTTAGATTGTTTCTTGTAACCTATAAATACCCTACTTGTATTTGAGTTTTATCATCCAACAATCAAAGCTTAATTATAAGCATTTGAAAGCTTTCTTAAGAGTTCTTCCCTTTTGCAATTTTGTGAGATTATTCTAAAGAGAGTTTTTTTTTTGGATCAATTAGAGTTTTTACTCTATTTTGATTCAACAATTGGTATCAGAGCCACGTTTTTTAAGATCTCTTGAAATTCTGAGTATGCTCTGTGGCTGCAGTTTTTAACTGATCTTCCACATCAGAAAATATTTCTTGAGTTATTGTCGAGGTTATTACAAACCTTGTGGAGCTTCTTTGTGTTTAGAGTAATTTAGTACTCTGCACGTTTGTTACTCAAGCTTGTTCGGTGTAGTCAAAGCCTTGCCGTTAAGATGGGTGATCTTCAAGTAGTTGGAGGAATCAAGAAGCTCAACAACAAAAACTACAACACGTGGGCAACATGTATGGAGTTATACTTACAAGGTCAAGACCTTTGGGAGGTTGTCGGTGGTGGTGAAGTTACACAACCGGCGACAGAAGATGCCAATGGAATCTTGCGAAAGTGGAAAATTAAAGCAGACAAAGCAATGTTTGCTTTAAAGACCACAATTGAAGAAGAAATGTTGGAGCACATCCGGGATGCTAAAACACCAAAGGAAGCATGGGACACTTTTGTTACACTCTTTTCGAAGAGGAACGATACAAAATTGCAACTTCTCGAGAATGAACTTCTATCAATGGCGCAACGCGACATGGCGGTTGCCCAATACTTTCACAAGGTGAAGTCGATATGCCGTGAAATTTCAGAATTAGATCTGACATCTGCTATTGGGGAAGCCAGGATAAAAAGAATAATTGTCCATGGTTTGAGACCCGAATATCGAGGGTTTGTTGCCGCTGTACAGGGATGGCCGACACAACCATCGCTTGTTGAGTTCGAAAATTTGCTTGCAGGTCAAGAAGCCATGGCCAAGCAAATGGGAGGAGTCTCGTTGAAGGGTGAAGAGGAAGCGCTCTACACCAGCAAAAGCAGAGGCACTTTTCAGCGGTATACTGGCAATGGATCTAAAAAGGATGGTGACAAGGTGAAAAATTACCAAGGAAAGGGAGGCCCTCATTCAGGGGGAGCTTCCAA